GGAAAGAGGTAACACCTGTATTCTACACCTAGTCTACCTTTCTTTTGCTCTTACATTCAACCAGTGAATGCTACTTTTGTCTGTGACTCAAACTCCACTACATATGTGTTCGGTGAAGCCCCTTTCCTCTTTATACATATGTCACTTTCTTCTTTTGAAGAAGTCCTTTAGCCAATTTTTTTTTTCCCAGTTGAAGACATTCTAAAGATATACTGTAATAAGATGCTGTTTTCTGCTTCTTTTCCTAACTTCTTTTGGCAGCAGGATCAGTGTAAATCTGAGGGTATCAGTTAAGCTCTGTGATTGTTTATCATTACTTTGAGTTATTCAGCTGATACAGATGCTGGGAGGCTACAGAATTGTTTTGGATATCCTGTCTATGCATCTATTTGGCTTCTGAAGGCTAGGAAACGGATATTGAATGGAAAAAGTAATTTTTTTCTGATGATATTTTCAGCTTTGCTTACCTAAGGATGAATTCTGTATTTCTCAGGCAGGTGAAATCTCTGGCTTCAAATCTATGTGCAGAGTAATAGTGTAATCTACTGGTAGTAGGGTAAAAGTCTCTTTGTGAGACAGAGTTCTGCTTAGAGAAGATTTGAGCAAGAAATTTCCAGAGTCTCTTTTTCGTATTTATCAATTACAAAATACTGCCATACAATTCTCCAGGATACATGTAAATGTATATAAAATGCTTAGACTTTATTTGAAATCTGGTATACTGGACAAAAAGCAGTAAGTGCTTAAATACAGATTTTTTTATATAAACATATTGCAAATTAAAATACCTAGAAGTAAAGCAAGTGTGAGATGTTTTTCACTTTTCTTCCACAAAGGGGTGCAATAGTGACACGTTAGAGCAAAATGTTTAATGGTAACAATGATGACAAATGAAAAATGATGTTTTAAGCATATTTCTTTTAAAACCACATTTTTTTTCTTTTGCACTTAAATGTAAAAATTTTGGTTTATTTCTTTTAACATTTATAAGAATGATTTTTAGAAACAGTATACACACAATTTTAAAGCCCTTCAGGTCGTTGAACGGGTGCTTGGCAGCTGAATCACTTAACATGTTTGGTAAAGTTAGCCTCTTGTATACTGTCCTGTAAAATGTTTTTCACTTACCTTTTTGTTTATTTAAATAAGTCAGTCTTTGAGTATGTCTCAGTTGTTCAATTTTGAGTAAGCTAGTAAAAGAAGTAAAACGTATGTTTTGCTTCTGAACCCCAAAGGAAAAAAACAAGCTATTTAAAAATGATATCTGTGAATTCTGTTTGGTCCAATTTTAATTGCCATCTCTTTCAGCTGCATCATTTTGCTAGCTACAGCTCACTTGCTCTTTGTTTAAAGTGGCACTTAACTGATGCAACTACTTGCACATAACTTGATTTAAGAGAAGCCTTTCTCTTCCTTTGCACTCACCCATTTTTAGTTTAACTCTAGCTTTCCATAAAAGTGGCGGGCACATGCTGTTTTTTAAAAATCGCCTAGAAAGTGGTAACTTTTTCCTTACAGCACATCTATATAAATCTGGGTTTTTTTAAGATATGCAATTGTTTCTGAAATGTCATTACAGTAATTTTTGTTTCTGCTATAGTGACTTGACAAGAGGCAATGTGTGCTTTGACTGCTGAGTTACACGAATGTTTATTGGTCATCGAGCAAGATAAATAACAGTAACAGCTGAGCTTCTGCTACAATTTTCCCCTCATCTGCTGCATTCATTTGCACTTTCTTATTACCATGGATTGATCTTTTCATGGGAGGGCAGTGCAGATATGTTTATCCTTGATACCTGTATCCCATGTTATCTTGGTTTGATTCTGGGTAATCTGTTTTAGGGTCGTTATGGTTTGGGAAGTAAATGTGGCATGATGACATAAGTTTCCTAGGGAAATCTGAGTAAAAATACAGGAACTTAAGGGGAAAAGCTAGATGTATTTAAAAAATAACCACAATGCTTTAAATTATTACCCATTGGTGACAATCAAGGTTATTTTTAGAGAAAAATAATTTTTAAATTTTGTAATCACTTTTTCTAGGAAAAAGAGGGTTTGATTGAAATTCAGTTGCTCAGTTTTGGATATAATCAGACAAGTTCTGAAAGAATTCATCTAGATGAAAACTGTAGTCAGCGAAAGCGGAAGTTAAAGGACTTAAATTGCACTTACTCACTGCTTTGCATGTATGTTTCTAGTGTTTTGGGTTTTTTTGGTTTGTTTTTTTTTTTTTTTTCCCCCCTAAGGAAGTAGTTGAAGACTGTCGTAGTTCAGAATTTAGAAAGAACCTGCAAAAACTAAGTTCACTGATTTCATGCAAACCCATTAGAAGCAATATGATTTCGCAGACGGACATGAAAAAGCTCCTTAAATATTGAAGGAATAGAATACTGCAAGAATAAAATAGAAATGAAACAGTAAAATAAGGCAATAATATGCCATTAGTTCACTTTTCAGAGTAGAAAGACAATTTGTAGTTTTAACTGCAGCAGCTGATGGTTGAATTTGTCATTTGGAATTTTCAGAACATGGAACAAAAATTATCATACCTTATTTTGTTTTTTATTGAATTGTAGTTTTAAAAAACAATCTAATCCTTAATTTTGTTCATTTTTTGTGTAAACTTAGACATAATGAATTGAGAATCCTTTGTTACCATCTTAAAAAAAAATTAAGATAGCAACTATACTTTGGGAAAGCTTGCAATTTTTTTTTTTTGCAATAAAAATTAAATTTATAGCGTATGTCCTACTTTAGCATATGTTTGTTTTGCATCTAAAGGTGAGGATGAAAAGTGGAGCTCTCTTGTTGAGTACAACAAATTCAAACAACTGTAACTTTCAACATGCAGAGTATTTAGAAACACTTGAAAACAAAAAGCAAAAAACCCCACCACTTTTTAGAAAATTTCATTTTCTGCCTTTTTTTTTCCCCCAGTCACGTTGCACACTTGCTTTATTGTATAAAACAAACTACATGTATGTTTACATTGCAAATTTCCGTGGCTTCTGTGTTTTTTAGAATTGTATGCTGTCAATTACATGGAATATGCCTGGAACTTTTGTTTGTCTTCTGCTGTTTATGGGTAGCAAAACACAGACCTGTCGTCCTTCTGCGTGGAAGTGTAGTGCTTACTTTATCCGTGCTTTCTTGTGTGTATTTCTTCCTTAATCATATGTCAAACAAAGCGTTAATGGTGGGGATTTGAAGTAGCTTTTGCATGAAAATAGTGCTTAATTATCTATTCTCTTCTTTTCATCCCCCAAAATGAACATTTTAAGGTATCAAGTTAATCTGGGAGTAATAACCTCTGTGTGTGTGTGTGTATGTCATAAAACCTCTTTCTTCTTTGTTTTGTTCCTTTTTGCTTTTTACTACCGACTTTGCGGTTTTACTACTGTATTTTCTAGTATTTTTTCTTGTTCAGTAGAAATGTTCTGGAAAAGTTTTATGGATCTGAGACTACGCCTATGACTGGAGTGGGAGAAGAGAGAGGAGTATGTGTTACAGGTTTTGGGGGCTTTTGTTGGGGTTTTTTTTTTTTAAATCCTTTTACAAGGCTTTTTTCAGAGCTAATTTAGCAGAGTCGAGTCTTTCAGAGGCTTAGTTGCATGGTGCAGCTGAACCCATACAGCAACATGTTACTACTGAAAGGGTGCGTGTGTGGTGTGTCACGTCATGGCTCTTTCTGGTTATGTGCTGTTCCTGCTTCCTGTGCTTGCTCTTGTGTTTTTTTTTCTTGGTGCATATTCAGCACACTGAACTGGCGGAAAAAACCCCTAATCTCTCTCCATTTCTGCATACTCCATAAAAATTTATATTGGCTTGGGGGAAATTAGCAACTTAAGTTGGTTTATTGTTAAATAGGCTTTTTTTTTCTTCTTTCTACACTGTTAATCAAGTAGGCTTTAGAGTTGGCACAAGAAAAAGGGTGGGACCATATGGTCCATTAGCGGCTGTATTTTTTTAATCAGGCAGCCTGACCGGGAGCTGCCTTAGTTGAACAGAAATGTGTATCTTTACCTTTATTCCCCTTTTTTTATTCAGTGCCGAACACAAATTGATTATTTCCTAACTGTTGCTGTCGAAGGCTAAAGAAAGACTGTCTTTGTTTTAACTTTGCCTCCCCCAACCAGGTTCCTGGTATGCACTAGAAATCATTTCGTGAATTATTGCCATAAAATATTGAGCTGACTTGGTTTTGGGATTGTAGTTTTGCGATGGCAATTTTGCTATTCTCAATTTTAAATAAATATCTTGTTCTTCTAGATCCGATTCTATGAAGTAGTCCATTCCTTAAGAAAAGAGCTAAGTGATCTACAGATGAAAAAGGAGAGCCTAACAGAAGAACTAAATGGGTACAAATCCCAAATGAAGTGTCTGACAGAGGTCTGTGTACCTTAATTCTCTCAATGGGTATATATATATTGCAAATAACTCATTCTCCAAATCATTATTCATATATAAGATAAAAAAGCTTTTTTGCTGTCTAAAAATTACTAGGGGGAGGAGGGGCCAGGGAAGAAGAGGGGAAATGTGCTATGTATGTTCTTGTATAACAGCTAATGTTATGTTATGGCTACCCTGCAAGATTTGCTCATGAGGCTGTTCAGGATAGACTCTTACCAGCTACATTGTCCTTTCTGAGGGCAAGGTTGAAGGTGAGGAAGCTGAGACAGGAGATATATCTGGCAGTAGTTGAAGACACAATGATGGCTCAGTGTACAGTTTTTGACACAGTGATGTCTTGGTAGTAATTTGCTTCACCTTTTGTTTTAATGATATAAAAATGCATTCTTTTAAGAATTCTTTGAAGTTGCATCTTGTCTGTTTAGCCTTTCAACTTTTTATATGTTAATTTTCCTATTTATTTCTATACTAAAGAAAAAGATAATTTGATTTTAGATAAGATACAGATGCCAGACATAGAGAAACAAATTATTTAAATATGTTAAGTTTTTATTTTCAAAGAGTAAAGGAGTTGAAACAGTATAAGGATAACGTTTCTAAGGTTTTTATGAATGTTTATAGTATTCTTAGTATGCATACAGCTAGGATGACTTGTATTTTAGCTTAGTTCCACGTAAATCTGAAGTTGTGATAAGACAGTTTCAGCTACCCAGAGTATATTTTTTCAAGTCATGCCTGTCACTTCAATGACACTGTCACTTTACTACTTCTGAAGTTATTCTTTAGTTACCACTTTTTTTTTTTCCCCTTGAAATTTACTGATGAAATAATCAGGTGTAAAGAGATAGTAATTATACAGGATTATCTTGTGAAATTCATAGTTTTTTCACTTCTCTTTTTGATCGAATTAGCAAAAGTAGTCAATAAAATTTGTGCATTTATATGCTTCAGCATATGTGTCATCATCTTTGGTAATAATTGAGATTAATCCTTAACTTTGATTTACATGAGCATTTTACTTCATTGTACATTTAATGTGCTATGATTTAATAAAATTCTACAGGAAGATTTCAGCCTTCTGAGATTTGACTGGTCTGCATTAATTTTTGGTGCAGCAATTTAACGGGATAGTAGATAACAATAAAGTTGTGCTAGAAACAATTTTCTTCACACATTGACCCTTCTTTAATAGAAAAACTTGTAATTTTGTTCTTTTTATACCACATGGTGGCAGTATCCACCTTTCCCACTGATTTATTTTTCAAAGTTTGATGTTTACTGTGCTTTTCTTTTGATGCTGATCAGAAAGCACTAGAATGTTGCCTGTGTTGAATTGAGGTGGTTCTTTGAATGTTTATACCCTGTTTGCATAATCATGCTTAAAATGAGGGACAATTAGTGACAATGAATACCTTGGTGTTTTGGGTTTTTTTTAAAGAAAAAATCAGGGAAGAGATGCAGATGTTGAAATGTCACAAGAAAAAAAGGCTTACAGTTGTTAATAAAAATATTCCTTAGGATTCTCAGGTTTCAGATCACTTACTACAGTTCTTCCTTAGGTACAAAAAAACCCCTGAAACCCAAATCTTCACCCTATCTGTTATGCATAGGGATGTGTTTTGGATATTTAATGAAATGTGAGCAGATATGAGGTATTTTATGTATGGAGAGACTTAAGAGTCTCTGTATTGTGCCTCTGGCAAGTTCAGATTTGACCTAGTGGCTTGCTGAGTGTCACTGTAACAAGGTACCTCAGGCTCTTTCAGATAATAAGGTAAAGGGAGCATCATCAATAAGTGAGGGTACTTTAAATTCTCTAATGTACTTAGTACACTAAAGCTAACATACCAAAGCATCTGTTGCCATTTACAAAGAAGTGGTTTCAAGGTGTACTGTTGGGGTAACTTACTTATTTGAGTTCCTTTGATAAGGTCAACCTTTATTGCAAGGAACTTTATCAGAAGGAAAAAAAAAAAGCACAGTTTCATTCAGTATCTTACTTAAGCTCTTATACTCTTTTTTTACTGTTTTTGTGGTATTTCAATCATTCTTTATTTCCAGCTACATGAAACATAGTTGCTGAAGTTCCTTGTCTGTTGTTAAATAACTTATGCTCTTCAAATCCTTCCTCTGGTTTCCCATCCAATATTCCTTAAATTTTAAGTTTTCTCCAATGGTTGCAATATTTCTATTCTCTACATAGTTTATCAACAAAGTGTCTGTTCTAGGTTTAAAACTTCTTTAGGAAACTGCCAATGCAGACTTTTGAAATAGTCGTCACTGAAGTTAAGACAATCTTTTTTTTTTCCCTTGGGTTTTTATTTTTCTCTGCGAGAACAAAACACCTCCTACAATAAGCATTCCTTTTTTTTCTACTCTTGCAAAAATTTAAGGCTCTTCCTAATGAGTTTCAACACATTTTTTACCTCTTTGTGGAACATGGAAAGGAACTAAAATACATACTTATCTCAGATCTTTCTATTAACTACTAATGGCTTGGTGTAGGAGGATTTTGCTGGCTTTTCTAGTTGTTCATGGCTGACAGACTAGGTTTGAGTAAGTTTTATACATGTACATATTTACCCAGAAAGTAATGAGAAATATGAGAGAATTAAGTATAGACTCATAGGAAAGTCTGTCTAGCCAATAAAGAATTGAAAAAGTTTAAAGAAAAATCCAAACTTGTCTAATGTGTTAAGTCAACTCTAGACAAATTTAAATATAAAATGAATTAATCAAATAAGATAACCATTGCCTAACATCAGCTATATTATTTTGTGACAGGATGGCTGTAGTCATTTAATTTTGTCAAAGGAAATGAGCTCTAATTTTATTGTTCTTGTTTTGGAGTGTGAGCGTAAGAACACTTAGATTATATTTTGTTTTCTCTGGTTGTGATCCTTTACATACTGTTTTGTGGGAGAGCAAAGCAGCACAGTTCTATTCTCTGAACGCCATTACAGTGGGCCAATATGGCTGAGTATTGGTTATATAAAATCAGGTCTTCAAACCCACTAAATCTTTTTTTGCTACATGCTGCCATTTTAATTTTATTTTGGTTGAGGGGGGGGTGGAACTCGCCACCAAACAAAACTCATTGTTGGCACAATAGATCTAGCCTGGCACAAAAGTGAGTTCAGTGGCCTGGTATTGTGGCCTCTCAGCCAACTGAGTTTATGAGCATCCAGCTGTACCAGCTAGGAACCTTGGTTCTGTAAGAATTGAATTGTCATTGTAGCCTTGTAGAAACTTATTTTCTAAGACTTGACAAATCCACGTGTTCTTTATCTCTAGGCAATTCATTAATTCATTTTTATTAGAAGAACTTTTATTTCTGACTTCAGGGCATAAAAGACATCTTTCGAATGTTTGTCACCTGTATTTGTACACTAGGTATATGAAAATATATTTTGTTTGTTCAGAAGGAGTAGAATGTCTTAAGTGCGTATCAGCCTCTGTTAGCATTCATTTAATTCTCAATATGCTGAGGAGTTCAGACCACTAAAACTCTGCAACTTTGTAACAAAGTTCTCTTGTTGATTGTCTGTTGCTGCTCTGAGTTAGCACTTAATCAAAGCCTGCTGAATCTGTAACACAGACCCAGTAGGGTGGGGAGTTGCTTCTGACAACTGGTAGCAAAGAACAGTGTGTGAAGACAGATTTCTAGCACTGGAACATAATCTGATAGATGCAGCTAGTGTCAAAAGATCTTTGTCACTACTTTCTCTTTCTAAAGTGGTCAATATAAATGGTTCTGCAGTACTACCACTAAGTTGATGCCTCTCTGTACACAATTATTGCATCTGTGATTTAGACCAGTGCGGTTCCTCTGATTTTAGGTGCAGCAGCTGCAGACTGGGGGAAGGCAGTGGAACTGGTAAAAGCAATGTCCTTGTATTTCAGTGCTGACTGATCTGTTACCAAATGTATAATACAGACTTGTTTCAGTCCTCCTTTTACTGCTCAGTACTTCAAGTACAAATAATGGCACCACCATCTTTGGAGGTACAGATAGAGAAGAAAGTCCAGCTATAGTGTTGTATTACCAGGAGCTTCCCAGAAACAAAACCAGCTTCTGATGCGTGTGTTCCCATGCTGAACATCAGTGTACTATTTTGAGTTGTTTGCTTCCAAAGTGGTTAGAACCTTCCCTCAAATAGATGTAATTTACTACTTGCGTGTTTCTCTCAAGGCTGGGAGAGAGTCTGAGAAAGAAATTCTGCTTTTCTTTGTAGCTCTAGAAGATTAAGTATTGCTTTCTTCTTCTGGCTATGAGTTTCTTGGCAATGTTTCCCTGGAATTCGGTCTTGATATAGTTTTATCAGGGCTTCCTTTCTTTAGTTATTTTTTCTGTAAAGTTGCCTTCAGGACTTGCAATCAAATTTATAGTATGACAGTTATCTGAAAGCTATGGTTAGCCTAAAGACAAAGCTGGATATATGTAGGACAAAGATCTCTTCTAAGACCTCATCTCTGAATTGGGATTAGTAACTGTCAGGTTTTGCTAGACAAACCTAACAATTTTCTCTGTGATGTTTCCCAGCTGGAGGAAAAACATTTCTCTAGTCTTCAGAAAATGAGCTATTGCACTCAAAGGATCAGTTGGCACTAGATGTATCTGAATGTTGTAAAATTGAGCTACTGTTGCTACCCCAAGAGGACTGCATTCCCTAAGATTTCTTCGGAACTTTGCACATCCGTAATTCAAGACTGTGCTCTAGAACCCTTCCCTAGCCCCCTGACACCAGTTCTTTCAAGCAGTGCTTTAGTTGCTTGGTCTTCATGTCTCAAGAAAGGACAGATGAGGTGTCAGTCTTAGGTGAGATATGTGCCTTCTTTCCTTCATTATTGTTAATATTTATCTTGTTCAGGAACAAAGCTGCAAAGAAAAGTATTCTACCAATAACTATTAGCTTGGAGCAGCAGTTTAACATTTCTAAGACTCAAGAAAACATACGTGTCTATAAAAGTTCCCTTTT